AATAAATATAATTATTTTATTTCAATTATTTATTTAATTAATAAATTTAAAAAATTTTATTTTTGTTTATTTTACTTTTCATTAATTATTTAATTAAATAAAAATATTATTTTTTCCTCTTCTTTACTTTTAACTATCCAAACAAAATTAATATCAACAATTTCCTTTTCTTCACTTATCCTCCCTTTCCTTATCGCCCTTTCCCCTACCATTCCTTTATTAACTTTTATCCAAACATAGGGAATCGAGTGGACTGAGGGATGAGAGTTGAAAGATAGTTGTTTTTTATTGTATAATTCAAAATAAAATAAATAAATAAATAAATAAAATCCAAAACATAAGTCTTAAGAGCTCTAACTTTATCCATTGCAGTTGAGAGTGAAACTAGTATGTCACTCACAATAACACATTCTTCTCAAAATAATAGGATATAATACTTTTAATTTAAATCACCAGCATGCTGGTGAAATTTTATCTTGAACGAGTTGATGATGATGAACATTATACATTAATACCAACTCAGGGAATTAATGCATTTTTCTCTTGACCACCAAGTTTTAATCTTATGGTTTCGATAACATCAGCTTCTACTTTGAATGCCCAAGTCAGGAATTGTTCAGGAATTGTTCAGGAATTGAAGGATCTGAAGCAAAGATAGTTTTGGAAAGTGGCAAACTTCCAGGTAACTGACTGCTGAAAGTTGTAATGGCAAGTGCCTTCCCTTTTCCCACATTCAGCTGGAAATGTAATCCACGAGGAATCACAAACATTTGCCAGGGACCGAGGACTTTCGAGTAATACTCGTTTCCGGTAGTCACGAGGCCTACCAGGACTTTCCCTTTAAGATAAATTCCAGCCTCAGTTGCGCGGGGATGAGAATGTGGTGGATTGTATCCACCAGGGGCAAAGTCCACTCTGTTCATTAATTGAAATTCCAAGGGTGTTTAGCACCGGGAACGTGTAAGGACGTTGGCTGAATTCACTGCTGATCCAGATATGTTGCTCATGTTTCCTTCTTTGGTTAAAGCATCAAAGAAAAAGCCATCTGAGGTAACTGCAGAGGTTGGTTTGCAGGGGAAACCATTAAGGGATGGAGCAGCAGCAGCAGCAGCAGCCAGGTCTCCAGCACGGAAGTCCAGCAATAGATCAGGGTCAGTTGAGTGAGAAAGGAGAGGAAGAAGTAATATCATCATGAACTTGAAGAAATACAAGAATCTTCATGAAGTATCCACGGCAGAAAAATGAGCTCTACTAATTTTAAAAACGTAGCCAGCACAGAAGCTGCGTGCAATATCAACTTATCAAGGATATATATATAGATGTAATTCTTCTTAAGTAGTCAAACATCCATTACTAAATTGCTTTATTTTGGGAAAGCATGAGAAGGAACCAAAATTAATCGTTGACTATCCAAGCAATGATGCTGTAGATGATGCAACAAGCGTGAAATTGGCAAATGCAATGTGCATAAGGCTGCAGTTTGAACTTTGAAGTTTGAACACATGAACTGGAGCAACAAGATTTGAAAAAAAAAGGGGTGATTGTCTACCACCCACACAATTTGGCCTTGATACAAAAATTACTGAATAGAGTCAACTTATATTTTTTAATGGCTTTTGCCTAATTTGTCATATGTTAAGTTCCATTAATTAGGGTATTTATAATTAATTTTGTATAATTTTTTTTACTAAATTCATAGTTTTTTACAAATTTTGATTATAAATATTATATTTATTTTATTTTTACACTTTATTGTAATTTAATTTTTTTATAAAAATTTATATAAAATTAATTACAAATAGTATATATAATTAATAATACTTAACTTGTCCCTTAAGGTAAAAAAAAAACCCTTTTAATTTAAAATTGCCAAAGGAAAATTGACTTATTTCTCTACAAATAAATTAAAATCTAAAACGTTGATATTCTTTAACAAGCTCCACACACTAAGCCATATTGAAAATAAAAAAATGTAAGACATAGACTAAAGATACCACCATGATGCAAGCACCTGAGACTAAGAGCCTGTTTCGTTAGAATGTTATTTCATTAAGAAAGATTTTATTGAAAAAGTGGTCAGGAAAGCATTGTATAGAAAATTATAAAATGTTTGACAGAGAAGTTGGGGAAAAGGCACAAATAAATATGTCAATTTTGCACTTTTTTTTAAAGATATTAATTATATCAAATTTTAAATAAAAATATTAAATTTTAATTTGTTTATTTAAAAAATATCGATTTTCAATTGTTTTTAATACCAACTTTTAAATTTTTTATATTTAAGGATTAATTGGATGGTGATGCTAATGTGGAAAACAAACTTTTTAATTAAAATATTAAAAGTTGACATTTTTAAATGAAAAAAATGTAAAAATTGATATATTTAAATAGAAAAAGTTGAACACTAAAAGTTGATATCATTATTTAGAAATTAGTATAATTAACATTTTTAAATAATAATAATAATAAAACAAAGTTGACATCTCTATTTGTAGCTTTTTTAGGAAAAGTTGTTATATTTTGTAATAAAGTTTTGTTAGAATTTTGTTAGGTTATTAATTTTAGTATGTTTGGTAAGCAATTGATATAGGTAAAGGGGAAATTGTTAAGTAGACTCAATATAGAAATGGTTATAGAAAACTTTTTCTTTTCAAAATACATAGAAAGAAAATTTTATAGATTAAGAATTAAGTAAGAGAAAATAAATGTTAAAAATGTTGCTTTTACTCTCTTTCTATTGTAGTATTAATGTATAAAAATATACAAATAATCTTATAAAAAAAATTTAAAAGAATTTAAGAGGGAAGTTCCCCCAACCAAACACCCCTTAAAGGTAAATGTATGAGGAAACAGACGGCATTTTTGGGTTGACCAGATTGTTTAAGGAAAAAAAATATATTTTTCCGGCCTCCTTGTAATAGTCTCGGCAGTCCGGGTTTCCCCTTTCACCCCTTCTATTTCCCTCCCTCGTCCTCGGTTCAGTAAGTATTTCTCGTGATAGTTTTTATGCTAAACTTTAATAAATTTAATTTTTAATTTGAAAGTTTTAATATTGTTGTTTACTTTCATTTTTAATTAAAAATTGAGAAAAATTAAGTTTGTACTTAAAATATCATGAATGATAATAAAAAATTATAATACTTTTAATGAATCAACACGTAAAATATTCATTAAAATTATTTGAAGTTTTGAACACTTTTATTAAGGTTATCAGAACAATTTTACAGAGATTCTTGACATTTAAAGTACCAAAATATTTTGATTTTCACTTTTCTTTTTAATTAATATATTTATTTTTATTTTATTTTTATTTAAACGTTTTTTGTGATAAATTATTTTTAAAATATTATGATAAAATATATTAAATAAAAATGCTTATTTAATTACTAGTAATTAATTAATTATAAATATGAAATCTTATCAATTAATTATTGTTGCATTTATAATTTTAATAATTACGAAACATGTTTAAATTACTAATTTGTTTATCTAAATATGTAATTTATGTCTTGAAAGTTAAAAGAAGTTAATGGAATTGAATTGCACTAAAAAAATGACCAAGGAGGTTGAAATTGCTACAGAGAGCCGACTCTACTTTTTTACTACCAGCTATGGTGAAGAAAAAATGCAGAAAGCCTGCTATTAATGCTGTAGCAGGCTTTGATGCCTAAAAGAGTTGACTTTAGTCGTGAGAGTCAACTCTCTTGTTACAAGCAATGTTTTGAAAACCGAATTTGATCGATCGGATCGGTTGAATCGGTACCCGGTAATATAAATAGTTTGGTTGTATCTTTTAAACCGTTTGAAATCAATAAAAACCATTGAAACCGTTCAAATTAATAAACCATTAGACCGGACGGTTCAATGCTTGGGCATAAAATTTTGTCTTCTGTGGGACTTGAACTCACAACCTGAAGCCTTAATTCTGACTCTTTACCACTAGGACGAGTGGTGCAATTCTTGTCTCATTGAGTGCTTGGAATTTTATTTATCTAATAGAATTCTAAAAGCTTTTAATTGAATTATTGATGACAGGCATAGGATTTGAACACCCATTCTCCATGTATATAAAACAAAAACTCTACCACTTGAGACATGACCTTTTACTTGCTATTTTTTTGCTTCACAATATATTTATTTTATTTTTAAAATCACAATTATATTAAAATTTGTTCTCACGAAAGATTTCAAATGTCGAATCAACCACTTACCACTACACCCAACTAATACCTTGTGAAATATTTTGCAGAATAATATATTTATAATAGTTTGATCAACCCCGTGGTTTTACCAATTAAACCGGTTAAATCGATCAAATCATGAACCAAAGGTCAAAACGGTTTGATCTCCGGTTCAAGTTTAAAAACATTGGTTACAAGTTTCAAACTTGCAACTTGGCATGTGTTGGAAATGGATGCTAAGTCGGCTTTAATTGTTGTAGTTGACTATGATGAAGCATTTAATGATTGCAATAGTAAAAAATTTTAAAGATTGTTTAATTTTTTAGACTTAAATTTCTTATACTGGCTTTGGATTTTGTAGTTAGCTCAAAAGAAAAACAAAAAGTGTAGCGGCAATAGTAAAGCCGACTCTGACATTAAAAGCCAACTTTGAAGGTAAACTCGACATAATGATAAAATTTACAACAAGTTTTTGTAAACCTAAACTAATCTGTGGTGCATTAAATAAATTTTAATAGTTGAAAATTGTTGCTTTCAATTATGGAGTATAAATATGGTTGATAGAAGTCTTAAAGACTATCTTAGACACTTGATTGAATATCTTTTATCTACCAACTTGAATTTCTTGTGATTTGTAAAGTGGTAAACTCAATAGTAAGTACAACAACTTCAAATAATATAATGATGAATAAAGTATCATTCCCACGAGGATAAATGATTAATTAACTACTAAAAATAACTAATTCTAGAATTATTTGAACAATAAAAATAAAGCTTTCTCATTAAAAGTAAAAAGCTAAAAGAAACAAATTAAAAACAAGGTTAAATACCAATTTTGGTCCCTCAACTTTGTAGTGTTGCACAATTTTCATCCTTCAACTATTTTTTGCACTTTTTTGATCCCTCAACTCCAAAAACTACACAATTTTGATCCCTTTGTTAATTAAGTAACACTTGACTGTTAAAATATTCTAGAATGGCATATTTTTTATGACATGTAATAACACATCATGTAATCAACTTACGTAGACATAAAAATGCCAAGTCAGATTCCACAACATTAAACAATTTACAAATTAAAAGACAAAATTACAATTCTACCCCCACTTCCATCTTCTTCGTGGTTCTCCTTCTCGCTTACTATTCATCTTCCCTTCTCCTTTACCATTGTCTATCTCCCCTCCCTTTTCCTTTCCCAATCATTTGAGCCCTCCTTCTCCTTCTCTCTTCAAAAAGGAGGGCATTTGATTTCTCATCTCACATTGCTAACAATAACAACAATAAATTTGATAGTTTGGTGCTAACAAAAAAAAAAAAAAAAAAAGATCCTAGATTTGAAGGAAAAAAAAAAAGAAGAGGAAAACCCATTTCTAGGTTCAACAAGAACCCTTTGATGGGTTCGTAAGAACCCTCCCTTGGTTCCTCATGAACCCAGAACTAGGTTTGCGATGAACGCACATCTTCTAGGTTCGCGATGAACCCAGATCGTCTGGGTTTCTCATGAACCTAGGTCATCTCTACAAGGAGATGAGGGGGAGGGGAGAAGAGAAACAGTGATGAAGAGTGAGGAAGGTTGGAAACAGTGGCGTTGATGAGGAAAATAAAGAGAGAAAGGGTAAAGGAGAATGATGGCAAGAATTATAAATTAAGGGTATTTTAGTAATTTTATATTTAAATAATTGAAAAAAATTAGAAATAATAGTTGAATCTAACTTAGCAATTTGACATTGTCCACCTAAGCTAATTTTATGATTTTTCATTGACGTGTCATTAAAAAAATTAAGGAAAATGCCACACGGACCCAGTTAATTGCCTTATATGACGGAGGGATTAAAATTGTGTAGTTTTTAGAGTTAAGGGATAAAAAAAGAGCAAGAAATAGTTGAGGGACAAAAGTTATGTAACACAATAAAGTTGAGGAACCAAAATTAACATTTAACCTAAAAAAACAAATAATTGAATAAAATTTAAGGTTTGACCAATGCAAAATACACTAAGGCATACAACTTAACAATACCAGATAATATAAATTCTAGATTCATATGCATTTGACACTATTTATAGAACAATGAGATCTCCTAACTTATTCGTTACTCTCTCTTAAGTTATACCAAACGTATATTTACTTAATAACCCACTATATTATGAATTTAATTAGGTACCAATGCATTAAATTCTGGGAAACTCTATAGTTTAAGTTGAATATTGCGGGTCAACTCATTACTAATACTACACTAATTACATTGGTCCATCTTTGACTTTCATTCAATTTATGGTATATATTAATTTCTTCTTTTCTCTCTTTGATTTTCATTTTTTAGCTGCAAAAGAAAAAAAAAATTTGAACTCCAATTCAACCCCTTCATGAAGTACATTGAGCCAAAATTCCAGCATGAGTACAAACTATGAACGGTTCAAAAAAATTTATTAGAATTGCATTTGACTTGATCCTTTTAAAGGATTGATTTTTTAAGTTCAGTCAAATTATTAAATAAAAACATATTTTCCATCAAATATTGTAGGCTGCTTCACGCGAACATGATATTGTTTCAATAACCTTTGATATTTTGCGGATCATCCTGACAAAAAGGTTATCTCTCATGGGACTTTGCCATTGCTACCTTATATTATATACTATTGTTGATTGAATTTGCAAATAAATGATCCTTAATCATCTGCTTGGAATTCCAATATTACATTGGGTAGTGAAGCATCTATTGCTGAGAGAAACATGAGGCTTCAGCCATACGAGTCTCTCGTATCCTTGGTGAGTCTACTGACTGCTGGCTAACTGGTTCATTAATTGAGCTTTGATAGTGTCTTAGGTAAAAAGCAAATGTTTTTGGTGACTATAAAACCTATACTAATTTCACTGATAGCTAAACTAAAGCTTCTGTTATCAATATAGATATATATATGAAAAAAATACATATTAATTCTGATTTTTTAAAAAAATTTGAAGTCTTAACATTAAATTAATCACGTCATTTTATTTAATTAAAATTCAATTTAAAATTTAAAAATTTATTTTATTAAATATTAATATTTAGATTCTGTTATCAATATAGATATATATATGAAAAAAATACATATTAATTCTGATTTTTTAAAAAAATTTGAAGTCTTAACATTAAATTAATCACGTC